ACCAAATGTGTGACACGAAATGCAAGTACTAGGGAGAAATAAACTCACAATTAAATCCCACTCAAGGAGCCCACACTTGCTATAAAACAATATGCCCTTTCGCGTAAAGAGGGTGAGGAGGGGAGGAAAGAGAAAGACCAGAACAGAGGACCAAGCATTTGTTCACTGGTTCATTCCATGAGCGTGAAAAACACAAACATTATCACAAGGTGAAGCTAGGGGCTAGGAAGTGAATTTCACTTTTCAAGCAAATAAATTTTCCTCCAAAAGGTAGAAATAAGATGGGAATGGTCAGACCAGAAGATGAGTAACAACACTTAATAAAAAAATAATCCTAGGAAGCAAGAGGAAGCGTTTGCCGAGGACAAAGCATGCCTGCGATGATTAAACTTAAAGGAGAAACACAACGTTGCATGTGGAGCTGCTGTTCATGGGTGGCCTTGCCAGACAGGAACTGCTTCTAAACCACTCAGATTGTGTCTCATGTTTTCTAAGTCCCCTGCCCCGCAGGAAATGGGTGTAATGGACAAGCTGCCCTCACTGGACAGCCCACCGGGCTGTTTTCTTTGTTGAGCTGGAGAAGTGTTAGAAAAGCCGTGGGATCATCGGCCAGACCACACAACCGATGATCACCAATTCCTGCAAGCTAGCTGGGAGCTGTACAGTATCAGACCCACTGGTTTAATTGGTCAATTCAAAGCAACTGACTTCCATGGCAATCTCAGTTTTCTAACCAGTTGGCCTGGTCAAGTACAAGCAGCCGCTGAGAGCCTAGGAAATTTCCACTAAGGAAAAGACATTAATGGTGCAACTGCTGATTACAAAGTTCCTGCTCATGTCGCCCACACATTAGATCATGATGAGGTGACTACACTGAAAATAAAAGCACAACGCTGCTCTGAGACACTTGGGCAGCTGAACTACCGTTATTCAAACAGGACAATGAAATGACTGCCGTTTCCCCCCATTGGATTTAGACAGAAGGGACCAAAAGAGGAGGAGAGGGAGAGAGAAACATTGATGTGATAAATATCGATTGGCTGTCTCCACCTGTGCCTTGACCAGCGTCAGGGATGGAGCCTGTATCCCAGATATATACCTTTGACCAGGAATCAAACCTGTGACTCTTTGGTTTGAGGGCTGACACTCTAACCACTGACTGAGCCACAAGGGCCAGGGCATGACTGCCATTTTTAATTCTGAATGGAACCCAGAGTAGCTCACCCACTTTCTTGGTTATTGGACAAACAATACACCAATCAGATAAACCTCATTACATTCTTCCCTGCAAGAGAACTTCCAAGCCTTGTAATAAATGACATATTAAAGAAAAATCTCTCTATAATATACTTCTGACAATAACTCAGCATTCATATTAGTTTAAGAGCTATCTAGAAGGACATATCAAAATGCTAATAAAAGAAAATAATTAAATTTATATCAGCAACACCAAGGTTAATGGGCAAAGTTCTACATGTAAATGACCTAAAGCCAGAGAAAGTCTATGAAACTTATAAAGTCCAACACATTGCCGAAACCAGTCTGGCTCAGTGGATAGAGCGTCGGCCTACGGACTGAAAGGTCCCAGGTTCGATTCCATTCAAGAGCATGTACCTTGGTTGCGGGCACATCCCCAGTAGGGGGTGTGCAGGAGGCAGCTGATTGATGATTCTCTCTCATCGATGTTTCTAACTCTCTATCCCTCTCTCTTCCTCTCTGTAAAAAAATCAATAAAATGTTAAAAAAACAACAACAAAAAAAATCCTACACATTGCAGCACAAAATACTAAACATTGAGTTCAAAGTTTTAAGAATGGGTAACATGGGGAAGCCCACCATTCCTTCGGGACCCTAGAAAATGCTGGATTTACTAGCATCTGATTCTCTGTCCATGAGCCATTCACAACAGAGACCAGATGCAGATCTTTTTTTTTTTTAATATATATTTTATTGATTTCTTACAGAGAGGAGAGAAGGATAGAGAGCTAGAAATGTCGATTAGAGAGAAACATCAACCAGCTGCCTCTTGCACACCCCCTACTGGGGATGTGCCCGCAACCAATGTACATGCCCTTGACCGGAATCGAACCCGGGACCTTTCAGTCCGCAGACCGATGCTCTACCATTGAGCCAAATCGGTTTTGGCTAGATGTAGATAATTCTTACTCCATAGCCCACATCCCCTTGCTATGTATTTTGTCCCTTCCTGAGTTACGCACTTCTGTCTGCAGCTGGGTGTGCTGATCCAGCTTAAGCAACATTGGGAAGCTACATCTAAATACAATTGGAGTTGTTAGATGGTATGCAGGCTCTCTTTCAAAGCTACTTTTCACCTCTCAAACCCAGCATCCTCACGTACAGGTAACAGAGCCCTTTGCTGGCTACCACAGGGCTGAATTTAGCAGTCTGGGCGTAACAGTGGGGACAGCAATTCAAGGGTGGATCAGCCCTAGCTGGTATGGCTCAGGGGATAGAGTGTCAGGACTAAAAGATCCCAGGTTCAATTCCTGTCAAAGGCACATGCAGGAAGCAGCCAATCAATGATTCTCTCTTATCACTGATGTTTTTTTCTCTTATATATTAAAGAAAAAGAGAAAGAAATGAGTCTGTGGATTCAGTTGGAACTCCAAAAGCGGTATTAAAAATGTCCACAATAAAATTGGAGTTTAAAAAAAAAGTGGATCAGTGTCACTGCACAGCACATGTTGACCGATACCGAATGTCCCACTGGACTTAGTTCATCTCGACCTCTTTTGAGATACCTGAGACCTTTCAAAGTTTCTCAATACCTCAGTCATTTCCAACGTATTTTGGGATTTTCACAATATACACCTTAGCAAATTAAAACTTAAGATAGAAACCCCTATTTGAGGGAAATTTTCTCTTTTTACACAGGATGTGCCCTAGCTTGTTTGGCACAGTGGATAGAGTATCTGCCTACAGACTGAAAGGTCCTGGGTTCGACTTTGGTTGGGGCACATACCTGGGTTGCAGGCTCGGTCCCCAATGGGGGCATGCAGGGGGAAGCTGGTCAGTGATTGTCGCTCATCATTGATATTTTTGATGTTTCTACCTCTTTCCCTCACCCTTCCTCTCTGAAATCAATAAAAATTTATTTTTAAAAAAAAGTAAAAATAAGTACACAGGATGTGTTTTAATACTTGGAAGCAGGTTGTGTAGCAATAACAGCCTTCTCTTGGCCTCTTCGATTCCTGTGACAGGCATCCGGGTCAGAGGGCATTCCGGAGAGGGGGTCAGTCTAGTAACTTCACATCTGAGGAGCCACGTCATCCTGCTGCGAGAGGATGGCCGGCACCACCGATGGAGGCCGAGTGCATGCTCAGGGCAGGTAAGCGTTCCCAACAGGAGAGGCAGGACCTGGCTCACAGCATGACAGCCCTGAGCTCAATGAAGTGCTTCAGGAATGGGTTGCATTTCATCTTCAGCCAAGTTATTGCTGTGTGGGTTGCTTCCCCCACAGTTAATTTGGCTTCCAAACACGTGCACGTTATTTTAATGAGAAGCTAATTGTTCCATGACCTGTAAGCTGGCCAAGTGAATCTGAGAAGGGTTACAACAGGGTGAGGAGGCCACGGGGCCAGTGACAGGACTGTGAGCTCTGAATGTGGGAGGCGCACAGGGAGCACCAAGTGGCAGAAGGGAGAGCTTGGGAAGCAGGCTCAGACCAAGTACAACTTTTTCTGGAGCTCCAAGGACATGTCTATGAATTGTTTGCATGAGCCAAAGCGGGGCGCTAGTGGCACAAGAGCCACAGGGGTGGCCCGAGTGTGGCCATCCCTCCTCTCCACCCCAGGAAGGCTTTCTTTCCGCAATGCCAGGGTGGTGTCCGGGGCCAGGATGCCCCAGTGGCACACAAGAGATGCTAGGCCCATCAAAACCCACCACTTCTGTGACACTGACAATGCAGGAGGGGCCCCGGGGTTAGATACGGCACAGAAACAACTGAGGAAGACTTCACCTCCCCGTTTCTGCTATTCGAAGATTCAAACCCATTTACCCAAATCACTCCCGTTCTCACTTGGGAAACGCCAAACAAGCGCAGCCTGAGTCCTGGTGCGGCGCCCTCACACACGCCAGCTGACCCAGCAGCCTGCATCCCAGGCGCTGGAAAAGGCACTCAGTCAAAGAAACACACAGTGTTAGACCAACTTAGTGATTTTTATTGATGGGCAACAACTTGATATCCTAGGCATCACTAACTGTGTACAACTGGAGACGCAGCATTAGAGAAGAGCAGGCAGCAAAAGTAAACAGAGTGGACTTAAGATCAATCGTCATCATTTTGCCCGTTATTTCATTATGTGTACACAGGAGCATGAATGCAATTTGAAATCTTTTAATGGCAATAAAGTTACAATCACCCATCTATGTGACTAACACCTTAACTCCAAATGTTTCATCTGTAATGTGTACGTAAGCAGTTCCTCGTCACACAATTATTAAAATGTATTTTTTTTCCTATTAGGAACCAGCAACTCATTTTTTGTGTGTGTTTATTTCTTTTGAAGATCTATTTCTTCTCCAATAACTGGCTCATTTTTATCATTTATCAAAAACTAAAGGGTGGGGGGAAGAAAGTGTGATGGATTAAAAAATTCATTTTTTAAGTAAAGATAAAATTCATTTTCACAAATTTACAAGTGTCATTGCTGGTGCAGCATTCATCCCACTAAAGCAATCAGACTTGGAATCAAATGCAAGTTCCTTTCCAACTCAGGAATCAGCATTATTTCAAAATTATGGATTTTTGTGTATTTTCTTAAATCAAGCGACAGTCTATTTCAACCAAGTGATTCTGATCTGGAAGCTAGAAGACACCATAAACTATGTGTGCACAAACCCAAGGCATCTCCTTTGCATTCTAGCCCGTTTTTGCAAAAGGGAGGAAGAGTCTCTCTCTAAAGAGCCACTAGAGAGAGGAAGGAAGTGAGTGAGAGTTGGTGTTCTACAAGCAGGTGTGGGCACACAGCACACGGCTGTTACAGCAGGTCCACTCGGCGGTAGTAGAGGAGGTAGGCTGTGCGGTCTGCAGCGGGCTTCACCACCTGGTACTGGTTAATCACCTTGACCATCTGGTCATCGATGCGCAGCCAGCCGTTCAGACCAATCTGGAAGACGTCCGTAGTATAGTGACCACCCGTCGCACTGCTGCCGTGATGGTAGACCACTGGAAAAGAGGCCCAGCGGGGGCCGGTGAGACAAGCACCGCACGCCAGCAGCTTACCCACACCGCACACCCACACCGCCTCACTGCCTCCAAACAGCCGTCTGCCTTGTGAGACACTCACCGAAATAGGCGGGAGAGAGAGAACTTAACGACACAGGTAGTTTATTCAAACACAAAGACCTTAAACAATTCACAATAAAAAGGTATACACATACATCTTAACATCTTTTAAATGTTCAATACGTCACAAACAATAAAACAAAATGCTGATAAAATAAGGTTGTTCCATGTGTCAGCCCTTTAGGCAAGGGTTATCAGCCAGCTGAATATTCTAAATATTTAATACTTTAGAGAGAACACTAGAAATTAGAACATGAAAGACACCCCCACAGAGCCACAGTATAAAATAATCAACATCAGCCGAAACCGGTTTGGCTCAGTGGATAGAGCATCAGCCTGCGGACTGAAAGGTCCCAGGTTCGATTCCGGTAAAGGGCATGTACCTTGGTTGTGGGCACATCCCTAGTAGGCGGTGTGCAAGAGGCAACTGATTGATGATTCTCTCTCATCGATGTTTCTCTCTATCCTTCTCTCTTCCTCTCTGTAAAAAATCAATAAAATATATTTTTTTTAAAAATTAAAATAAAAAAAATCAACATCTGAAAAAACACCCAGAGACCTACAAAAAGTTCATGCCCTTGATCTTGCCAAGTCCATTTTGAGACTGTTCTAAAAGAGAGTATCAGGATCTTAGACACAGATTTTATAACAATGAAAAATTGGAAGAACCTAAATACCCACTAGAAGGAATTAATGAATTATATTACAATTAGAGGCCTGGTGCACAAAATTTGTGAGGGTGGAGGAGGGAGATAGGAGGAGGTGGTGCTCAGTTCAGCCTGTGCCCTCAACCAGTCCAGAAGCCCTCAAGGGATGTCTGACTGCAGCAGAGGCAGAAGACCCCACCACTGCCCACAACCATGAGCCCGCTTCTGTCTGAGCACTCCTGTGGGAGTGCACTGGCCACTAGAGGACAGCTCCTGTGTTGAGCATCTGCCCCCTGGTGGTCAGTACACATCATAGCAACCAGTCGTTCTGCTGTTTGGTCAATTTGCATATTAGCTTTTTATTATAAAGGATAAGTGATTTTTCATGTAACTGATTGTGATATAGGAATATGCTATATTACATAAAAAAATGAGAATCCTAAGTATTATATAAAATGTCTTCTATGATGCCTCACAGCATCTACCTGACCGTAGGCAACACAGAAGGAAGGATGACAAAGAAGCTAGAAAATGCTAAAAGAGATTACAGCTTCAAGGCACAAGAGACTCAGGCTATAGAATAGAAAGAATGGGGGGGAAAGGCCTAGAAGATAAGCTGGAACCATGGGGAGCTCCAGGCTCCTGGTTCTGGGACAGGGTTGTCCAGCACCCCTCTTACCCATCCCAGAGGGCGATTCCCATGACTGACTGAGAAGCATGTGACCTCAGGCCACCTTCTCACACACACCCTCAGTGCCATATGAACAGTTTGAGACTCATAACCAGCTGAGTGACTCCGTGTCACAGCCACTCCAAGCACCATGTACTACAGGTACCAGACGGCAGCAGAAAAAGGTCACATTCTCAAAGCGCCAGCCTGGCGGCTGAAACCTTCTCTTCTGTCTCAGAGACAGAAATGATCATGTCAAACAAGGTCTTATGGTCTTACGCTGGGCTCAGTTTAGAGCCAAGAGAGTATTTTGTCAAATTCTAAGCACCAAATTTCAGGTAAAAAACACATTTTCAAATGATTGCCTGACTTAAAATTCCATAGCAATACCGACAGTGAAATCTATTCTTTATGTTAAGTGGTATTATGGCAAAATTATGCCTGAGTAGAAATTCTTTTATCATTGCTTTAATGGGGAATTAGTGTACAAATTTACTTACCTGCAAATAGTCTATAGGTTCTATGACATTTAAAATTCTTATTTTTAACTCCTGGAGAAAGCAGCTCTGAAAAACAAAATATCAACAGCTCCAATCTTTAAAAGCATTTACAGAGAGTCTCAGAGTAACAGAAGCAAAAAACTAACAAGTCTCCACTCACAGAACTACCTGGTGGACCAGGGAAACAAAACTATTCCCTTATTTGCAAAAAAGTGACCTACAAAGAAAATTAGCTGTGCAGTATAGTAAAAAACATAATCAGTAATCAATCCATTAAAGAAGTATGAGTAACATACTGAAACTATTAAACTCATGCTAGAAACCCCTTAAAAGCAGATGCTCTAAAGAGTGTGTGTGTGTGTGTGTGTGTGGGGGGGGGGGGGGGGGGGGATGCCCTCTTAACAGTCTTAGAAAACCTGGACAGTAAAATATTTTACATGGGAGCCAGGACACAAAACTTCAATTACACAACAGTGATATGGCTTCTCATAAGAGGTTCCGACTGCCAGCTGGAGCAGGCCAGACCCCCTCGTCCTTAAAGCACAAAGTTCCCCTTTACAGAAGCACCACTCTGATGCTCGGAAGAGTTCACCTGGAGATTACTGGCTCCTTCTCTATTTCTCAGCTCTGTCATTTCTCTTTCTAAAAAGAATCTGAGGTGGCAGCTGATATAAAAATACATGTAACGAGAAAAGCCATGCAAATAGTGTCTGTAAGAAACCACACAAGTCAGTCCAACGAGGTGGTTAATTTGGGGGCGAGGAGAGGTGCAAGAGTGGGTCACTGTTGGTGTGCTGTTTCCTGAAAGCCGTGCAGACTGGGACGATGACCCAATATGTGATTCTCGGCTGGAGTTTCTTCCTTGTTCTGGTCCTCAGATGGGACCAGAAAAGCATGCTGCCTGAGAATGAAGGAGCTCACTATCAGAAGAGGGGAGGACATAAACTGGCACAGGAGTCCATTTTCAGCCACAGGAAGAAAAGGAACATCCCTGGGGTATAGAAGCCGAGCACAAGCACAGGCTGCCACTCACCAGTTCCTGAGTCACTGGCCCAAAAGGCAGGGCGAGTGGGTGCCGCGCTGTGGGGAGGGAGGGGAGGCAGGGAAGGTGACAGGGACCCAGGGCTCTACCCAACCCAGAGACCCATCCCCTGTCCTCTTTCCTGATTTCCAGACACTCTGATTATTTGGAGAATCACCTCTAACTTGTGTTGCTCCCCATCAAGCTTCATTATCAGAAAATATTTTTCACAAATTCTGAAGCTTTCAAGGAAAGCTGCTTCAAGCTGCACTTATAGCAAGACAACTCGAACTTGGTAATTTTGCCAGAATGTGCCACCACTGCTAAGCCCAGGTTACCTGATGGAAACTCGTGGCAACACACAAACTTAACAGGTATGTCATGCAACTGGGTCAGAGAAACCCTTCGTGGTCTATAGAGAACATTCCCAATTCACTAAAAAAAAGTCCATTTAATCAGGCTGATCCACACAGTTGTTAATATGTAGTATAAGAAAAATTATTCTGTACCATTAATCTATAAATTGATACTCATTTTGATGGATAAAACCTATTTTTTTCTAATCTAGTAAGATTATATGTTTTATTTTTGCCTTTATTTTTAAAAAGCCATTTTAATGAATTTGAAAAAAGGTCTATTAAAAGTCAAGAAATTCCTTAATCTTGACCTTCTACAGAAATGCTCATGTGTCAAATGCCCACTGGTTTCCTGAGTACTGTCACCATAAACGCTGTTGCCTTACATAGTTCTCACCTTTACTAATTTCCAAGTCCACAGGATATTCAATATTTTTTATAAGCTTCTGACATCCGCCAGTCTTCTCGTAAACAAATCGTTTCAGGTGCAGCACAAGGACAGGAGGAAGCTTTTCCAGGGTCACCCTCCGACTAATCTCGACCTGGGACACAAAGCACACAAGTCCAGTGGCCATCTGACTCCAGGCGGTCGAGGCCACGCCCCTTCCCCTCAAAGACCTCAAGGGCCAACTCCTTATAGTAGTACATGGCAGAGTTTCTGGACCTTTCCAGGGTTGTGAGATCTTTTCAACACCTTAGAAAGCCACTGGCATCCTTCTCAGAAAAATGCATGTATATCTGTAAACACAACTGCAGAGGATCCCTTGGGTGCCTGAGCCCATCTGTGAACTCATGCTAACAATCTTTGCTCTGTGGCACTAATGACAAATTGGCATAACTATAAAAAAGCTAACTTAGTGGTATCTTGAGTTATATATTTATTAGCTTGTTTTTTAATAACTCTCACAGTATTGATAAAACTGAGGCTGATATGTTTCTTGAATTAGATGCTTTAACACTAAAACTACTTATTCTAACCCTTTCATAGCTTCTAATAAATGCTTTTTATTAAATGCAACTTAATACTTTCACAAATCTAATGAGTGCTTATTAAAATGCAAACTCACAAACAATACTTCATTCCTTTATTGTTCTCTATATGTATAAACTCTTTAAGAAAAGATAACATGCCTACTGTGTCTTTATATTCGAGTGTTTCTGTATCTAACAGAATCTGTGACTGAATGAAAGTCTGTGACTAAATGAAAAGCATGAAACTAGGAATGATGACTCTGTGTTCCTCACCTGAGAATTGGGAGACCTGGATTGAAGTGTCTCTGGGATGCTTCTCAGTATAGAGACCTGTCATTCTTACCTTAACCTTTTGTACGCCATAAGCATCTATAGATGCAATTAAATTCAAAATATTGTGATGTACCCTAGCTGGTTTTGCTTAGTGAATAGTGTTGGCTTGCGGAATGAAAGGTCCCAGGTTTGATTCCGGACAAGGGCACATGCCCGAGTTGCAGGGCTTTATCCCAGTAGGGGGCATGCAGGAGGCAGCCAATCAGTGATTCTCTCTTATCACTGATGTTTCTGTCCCCTCTCCCTTCCTCTCTGAAATCAATAAAAAAATATTTTTTAAAAATGTTTTTTTAAATCATGTCATATGGGGATGGTTTCCATTTTGGATGCTTGGCAGTTCACTGGTTAAACCTCAAGCAGTTCACTAGGTGGCTAATCTGAAATTCTTAAATGTGTTTTTGGGTTTCTAGACAAATGGAGGCACACTTTCTTATCACTCAGCAAAAGCAGACCCCAATCACATTTTCCCATGAACCATCATCCTATGTACACACACACACACACTTGACCTAAAAGTATAATAAAGTTAAATTTGGGCTTCACCAGAATGGCTCAGTTGGCTGAGCGTCATCCCATGGACCAAAAAGTCACCAGTTCAATTCATGGTCAGGGCACATGCCCAGGTCGCAGGCTCAATCCCCAGTGCCAGCATTCAGGAGGAAGCCAACTGATGTGCCATCGATGTCTCTCTTCCTCTCCCTCTCCCTTCTCCCCCCTCCTCTAAAATCAATAAAAACATTAAAAACAAAAACAAACAAACAAAAAAACTTGGTATTTTTAAAAGTTTAAAAAAAAAACCACATAACAGAAATTGTGTTATTTGCTCTTTACAGATATCACAAGTTGTCCAAAATGTCCCTTCCTCAAGTATCTGCTTTTCTGAGTATTCTCTTATCTGATAACGACATAACCATCATGACCATGGAGCTAGAACAGTTAGAATTGTTCTTTTTAATCTTCAAAGTTCTGCCAAAAATCCACTTCTTTCTTGAATCTTTTCTCTCAGCCAGCCACCAAGAACAAATCATCTTTCCTTAGCACTCTCTGACAATAGTCCAATAACCACCTCTATCTCAATCCGAACCTCCCATTCCACCTCCTCCCCAAACTCCAAGTTTAACTGCAGCAGAAGCAACAGCGGGAGCAATAGGTACATCACAAAGGGCTTTCCCGATAGCCCAGGGACTGCCTCCGCAGCAGGACAAGTAGGCGGCCCTGCACGGCTGGCTCAGAGAGCGCAGGGAGAGTGCCCCCATGGCCAGGACAGTGCGTCCACCTCTGGAGTCACAGCTGCCAGAGAACAAGCTGTGGAGAGCCCCACAACCAAGTTCACATTCCTGCCACACAAAGCACCTGCCTGAAACAAGTGCCCACTAGCTTTCTCTTCCATTAAGTCCCATCCCTAGAATCTCCTTAGCTTATTCACAAAACCAACTGCCAAGATTCTGACACTGGCTTCCACCATTTTTAAATTTTAAGCAAAACTGCCCAGGAGAAGGAATCAGAAAATATGGTGGAGAATTAGGCATAGTTTCTGCAAATCCCCAAGAGCTGGCTTCACCAATCCAATGCAGGAGACCCCAGATGCACTGAAGTCCCCAGAGGAATACATCCTACTTTTGTTCTTCACTCAGGTCATGAGTCACAAGGCAAGGCTATGTCCACCTCAGCTATGTAGGGAGCTGAACATGTTTTCTACTCTGGGACGTCATTCTTCACTTTGCAGTCACTGCACGCTATTATTTCAATCAAGCTTCACAGGAATACTACAAACTGTTCAAAAAAGCACTGCCCATCACTAGCCTGCACTCATTTCCCAACAGATGTGTATGAATTCACTGCCACAACTTAGGAGAATGGAGAAGACATTCTCAACTGAAGAGCTGGAATAAACTGGTACATCTGGGCAGCCAGGAACTAGGAAGCTCTCAAAGAGCAGAATCTACCCCTCTCTCCAGATTGAGCTGACACTTGCACCACACTAAGTTACAATCTGTGTCTCCACTCCTGAGGCTGAAAGACTTTTATCTTTTCCAGATCAAATCAAAGGGCAAAAGGCACTAGAACAATCCTGGAAGATCTACAATCAAATGCAAAACAGATGTGCTATGAATCTCTTTTATGTCCTAAGTAATCTCATGAAACTGTGCTCTATGATATCAGGAATATAAACAAGCCACCAGCCTCTGATAGGGGTAGCACTGACTTTGTGGTCCCATGATTAGATAGCCAGAAAGTTAAATGCAACTCAGGATAAATAATCCCCAAGACTGTTCCCTTGTGCTATGTGACTCAGAGCTAAAGGAGATTGTTAGAATCAACTGTTTGAACCATTTCATCTAAAAATGTGAAAAAATCTCAGTCCAAAAAAGTTAAGCAACTGATTTAAGAGGCTGAACTCAAATCCACCTGTCCTCATTCCTAATTCTGTGTTCTTTCCACCATACTCAAGTGCCTCAGTAGACAGGTTCAAGATCAACCGTGAATATACCTCTTGTTTGGTTTTTGTGGTATAACCTTGGACAGATTCTCTTGCCACCAAGCTTTCCAATGCATCCTGGACAGTACGGATCTTGTCAGACTGGATATCCAACTGCAACGTGAAAAATGGCTGCAAGGTGGCAGATTCTTTTGAACTCTGCTGGTAAACCACAGACCTAAAAATTGAAAAAACAAAAACAAAAAACTTTAAGAGACCACTCCTTCCCACTTTCTCTTAAGATTATCCAACAGAAGAGGAATAAACACTGAAAATAAGATTATTCAAAATCACCTTCAGAAGACCAGCGAGAACAGAAAAGCCAAAAATATACTGAATTTAAAAAGAATTCTGGCCCTAGTCAATTTGGCTTAGAGAATAGAGCGTCACCCCATGGACTGAAAGGTGCCTGGTTCGATTCTGGTCAAGGGCACCATCTGGTTGCCACTTGATCCCCAGCCCTGATCAGGTGTATGAAGGAGTCAATATATCAATGTATCACTCCCACATCAATGTTTCTCTCCCCCTCCATTCCACTCTCTCTTAAAATCAATGAAAAAATATCCTCGGATGAGGATTAACAACAACAAAAATTATAATTCTTCTGATTGCCACTCCTAAGTATTTCTAGCAACTAAAGCCAGCAGTTGACAATTTCCTATTGAAGGGCTCTGAAGAAAGCATATTTCACCTTCGAACTCCTTCACTTCCACTCCACATTTTATTTAATACTCCAGTTAATAAATGTGACTATCTAAAATGGCCTCAAAATGCTGACACATTTCATTTTCTCAAAGTATCACAGCCTGCGCTAATAAAAGAGAGGAAACCTCAAGGTAAACAGAATATTTTTAATGGCATTTTCCCCTATAAAAATGACTTACAAAGAAGAGGAGCAGGGTGCGTATAATAAAAAACAAGTTAACATTCCAGGAAACAGGGCTACCTCCCTCAAGAAGAAGGATGCCAATTCAACCTTGTTTTCTTAGCTGGTTTCTCATTTCATTTTTCTTTTTCTAAGTTTTTCTGAGTAAAACTTGTGTGTTGGGCCCATCTGTCACTTAGCCTCAGCAAGGAAATATTCCAAGAGTTCAACAAGAGATTCTATTTCTGCAGCCTGAGTGACCTAGTTTGTAGATGGAATAAAACGGGTGTGGCTAGATATTCAGACTTCTTAGAGCAGACACATAAAGAGTGAGCTGAAAGCTTTTCTGCTTAGGGTTTGATTTTCATACCCTGCTTTCCCAACACAGTCTGAGGAAGCATGCCCACAATCGTCCCCTCCCTTGGTTCCAAAGAGTAGTGGGAAAATCACTAATTGAAGTTGGGGAAGAAATCAAGAAGTGGTCCTCTTGGTTCAAAGGGCCTAGAGTTAATCAAAAGCATCCTGGAGGGAAAGGGTGGAGAGAGATTCTTTCTGAGGGAATATATGTAAAACTTTCAACAATAAAGATTTAAAAAAAAAGATTCTTTCTGTGGAAACTGAAAAGCCACCAGAACAGGGGGAATTTTAGAAGAAAACCTTTCCACTTGTTTGAAAAGAGAATCATACTTAACGATAGCTAGTATGCAAAGTGCAAAGAATAGTTCCTAAATTATAAGAAGCAACTCCTTTCCTTTCCTTTGCCATTTTTAAAAACGACATATCAACAACCAATTTCAACACAAAGACCCAGAGGCTGAGGCGAGGGACCATGGCAGAGCCATTCAGGCCAAGCCAGACATGCCACAAAGTGGATTGTGGCTTTTCCCATGGGTCATTCTCAGACGAATTCGGGAACATGGGTATGTTGGCCAACAGTAGCCATGATTCTGACACTACACCTGGGCAAAAATATGATGCTCTGTCTACATATCACCCTCCCATCCCTTAGTGAGTGCCCCAAGAAGCTAACATCAGGCTGCTGGTCCAATGGAGAGCCCAGGGCACACTCAGCCTCTTCTCACTGCCGCTCACAGGCCTGGACCCCTGCTCTCTCCTCCCAACACAGCCCAACCCAAGGAGCCATATCTGGCAAAAATAAGTTATAGCGGCAGCGATCGGAGGTTGGGCATTCCCCAGAGCACGCCTGACCACAGGCTGACACGGGAGACTACAGAATAGAAAGAGACCCAGGAAGTAATTCACAGCAAAGGGCACAGAAGTGACTTGTTCAAGGTCACATGGCACAACTGGCTTCTAAATCCAGTCCTCCAGCATCCCTGACTAGTTTGTGAGAAGTCAGTGCACATTTTCTGAGCTTTTCATTAGCCTGTTGAAAAGGTACTCAATCTAAGTTGTTTTAGAGCAGGGATTGAACTAAACCTATTGAATAATACCCTGTAGAGGGTATTATTTCTTGTGGATACACAACATTTGGGGCAACGAATTGCTGAGAGTCTCACTTATACACCACTCTGGTAGGCTCTGTTGTGAGGCCTTCAGGGAGGAAATGTGCTATAATGAGAACCTTTCAGACCAGATGAGTAAATCTCCCTCATTCAACATCATGGCAGTACTCAATGGCTGAATTATATAAATAAAAGCCTTTTAGGGGGATTTGGTGAATGCATGTAAAGCAGCTGGCTTAGGAAACTGGGGTACAGAAGGTGCCAGGTACTCCAGGCGAGGTCACATGTCCTCCTCATGTACAAGCAGCTCTCCCACATTCCCTTAACTTTTTTTTTTCTAATATATTTTATTGATTTTTTTTACAGAGAGGAAGAGAGAGGGATAGAGAGTTAGAAACATCGATGAGAGAGAATCATTGACCAGCTGCCTCTTGCGCACCCCCTTCTGGGGATGTGCCCACAACCAAGGTACATGACCTTGACCGGAATCAAACCTGGGACCTTTCAGTCCGCAGGCTGATGTGCTATCCACTGAGCAAAACCGGTTTTGGCATTCCCTTAACTTTTAACTCACTTGGTCCAGTGCCTACAATTCCTCCAATGAGATACATAATTTCTTCTCTTCCCTTCCAACCTAGCTGTGAACAGTTGGGCTGAGGGAATGTAAATGTTGATGGAGGGGAGTTAGGAATGGGGGGGAAGGGGGGCAGACAGGTCCCATGGGTACAGCACCCTCTACCGAAAAGCCACAATGGATAGCATGAAAGCAGTGGCAGCTGGCAAGAGAACTATCAGAAGTCCAAGAGGAGAGTACACAGAAGTGTAGAGAGAAACCAGCAAGTCAAAATGTCTTAGGACAAGTCTTATACCTCCCCCCTTTAGCAAAATCTCAAAACCTTGAAAAAGGCAAATACTAAAATATTCCAGAAAAACATGAACCTGATGTGTCCCCCAAAAATGCCAGTGATTGGGGTCTGAATGAAGTCCGCCTGGCGAGTGACTGAAGTCTTATTTCTGGGGCCCACTTGCTCCCATTCGTCCTCACTTCCTTCACCTGGTTCTTCCTGCTCTTCCTCATTCACTGAGTAGCTTTTGGGTCCATTGGAAATAGGAAGTTCTGGAAAATAGACAGTCTGCTTAGGATACTCTTCACAAGAACAGCAAAAAACATTAAAATAAAAAAAGTTCAACATACATCACCTACAGAGATTTGTCATTTATAGTCTTATGAACAAAATCAGGGTGTGTTCTGCATTAAGACTCTACACCAAGAACAAACACAATGGCCCGGGCAGTGTGCTCAGTGATAGAGTGTGGACCTATGCACCAGGAGGTCACAGTTCAATTCCTGATCATGGGCATTTACCTGGGTTGCAGGTTCAATTCCCAGCCCCGGCTGGACTGCATACAGGAAGCAACTAATCCATGTATCTTTCTATTTCTCTCCCACCCCTTCCTCCCACTCTCTCTCTCAAAAAATCAACGAAAAGAAACTACCCTTGGGTGAGAATTAAAAATAAAAATAATTCTTTTTTTCTTTTTCTTAATATATCTTCATCGATTTCAGAGAGGAAGGAAGAGGGAAAGAGAGATAGAAACATCAATAATGAGAGAGAATCATTGATTGGCTGCCTCCTGCAAGTCCCCTAATGGGGATCAAGCCCAAAACCGGGCAAGTGCCCTTGACCGAATCAAACCTGAGACCCTTCAGTCTGCAGGCTGATGCTCTATCTACTGAGCCAAACCAGCTAGGGCAAAATAAATAATTCTTAAGAAAATATCCTCACACATTTTTGCTGCAAATACATCATAACCTACTATCATTATTTGGTGAGAGAAGTTTCTTCAGGTTCAACATTTCCTCATGAAGTCCATTTAGAATGAAGCCCAAGTATTCCTCGGCATCTTCCTGTCGACCCTGAAAAGGGCAAATATGACCACATTAATTCCAACTGACTTCTATGATTACTATCTAAGACCTGCAGGGAATGCAACTACCTGCATGTTCAAACTATGCTTCCTCTTAAATTTTCAACACATTCTCATGTAAAGTATTTCCCCTCCTCCCCCAAACATTTGCGTTTTTCTTTGGACAGCTGAGATGGGGAAGAGGGGGGAGGACGGAGGAAAGGAGAGACAGATTAAACAGGTATATCCAAATGATAGAACTAATGGGGGGGTTTTTATTATGCTTTTCTGTATTTATGAAATTTTCTACAATAAATATGCATTGCCTTTATAAGAAAAGTTATTTCAAAATTGGTGTTTTGTTAAATCAAATAGGAGAACAAGAACTCATTGTTTGGGGCCACCTCCCTATACAAGCTCCGGGTTTTCATTCACACTGGGAGTCCTGAGATCAGCAGCCACAAACGCCTCCTTTGAACCCAAAGGCAAGGATTAAGGAGCTGAAGCTAAAGCTGTGCTCTGCCCATGTATAAGCTGTGTGACTTTAAGCAGTGACTTCACTCTTCTCAAGCATAACAAGGAGAGAATAATCATACGCTCCTCACAGGGTTAAGTGAGTTAATATAATATATGAAAGAACTTACAATATTTGGTGCACAGTAAATGACACGTTGGTTCTAATTATGATTATCACCAATCTCGTTAAATGAATCCAACCAACTTACTCCATAACAAGCCTAAATCTACAGAACACACCCACCCATCACAGAACTTACAAAGCGGGAAAGCCCTGAATAAGCAATAGTTAAGGCATAAAATGGAGTAAAAGGCAACACTCCAGCGGCTACGTTAGAGGAGTCCCAAACCTTTTCAGACAGGCTCGACTTGATGACTGTCAGGAGTCTATAAATATATGTGGGTTCAAAGGCAGCTCCAGGGCGGATATCCCTCACGATTTTATCCCCAAGAGCTGCAACAGAAACAGAACATAGATTTTCATAACAAAAAGGAAGCCTAAAAATGACAAAAAGCAAAATCAAAACTCCCTCCCACATCCACCCAATGCTGAAAATAGCATAGGTATAGTAACATCTATTTTAAAAATTTTTTTCCTCCCAATAAGACTGAATTTATCAAATTTAGTATCTGAGTTCAAACTCCCAATAAGTAATACATCAGAAGAGCTCTTTGTACTCACCTTGTCTGGGCTTTGGAGGTACTGGCATATTAGTAAACTCATTCATTAGCCGAACACTAAACATGAGGGGGGGGGGGAGAGGTTAAAAGTACATATTTTATAAGAAATGCTCTTATTAAATAGTCTTGATGGCTAAGCAGAATATTAATTAGTATGAAGATAGCAAATTTTAGGCAACCAATGCTATAACTAGTGAGTTCTTAAATCTTTTCTATGAAAGTTTTTGGTCTATTTTAAGTGATAAACTGGTAAACACTAAAATTTATTCCACAGAATCTAAAGAAAACAGATAAATAATGTTCCAATTCCGTTTCTGGTTAGCTTCCATACAAAATCATGAATACTACATTTTTAAAAAATAACATAGGACTCATTTTCAGGAAATCAAAACTTTGCTAAACTATTTGAATTCTAATGATCAGAGGGGGAAAATCCCATTCCCCTTCAATACATTTTTAAGCACCTTACTTACAAGCTGTCTATCATGGGTGTTGACGTATAAGGTCTTTGCACTTTTGAATACAGAGGAATGAACTTCATCAGGTGATACATCGGAGGGCAAGCAACTAGTGCCTGCAGTGTCTAAATATTGGCAGTAAGGAAGTGTAAAGGAAAGGAAACAGGCACACCAACTTTCCAAAAGGCACATCAGGCACAAGAGCACATAAAACTAAGTAAGCCAAGGACACTGAACAACTTAGATATGTAAACACAAAAGGGAATAAACCAAATAACTGCCTTTTGATACCCACTTAAGGGTTTACTCTGCAATCAGCAGTTTACATACAAGAACTGGACTCGACCAAGATAAATCAATGAAAACAAAATTTCCATTTGTAAATGGTCACTCTGCCCTAGTATTTGGGACCACTCCTGATTCTGTCGTTACCAGATTAACAAATCTTTCTGGAGCATGAGGAATAACACTGTTTAGAGGCAAGGTAGGCAAACTAAGGAACCACGTTTCTGGATTCAAATGTTAGGGTAGATGCCCCATGGAGGCTGAGGATGAGAAAACTCTAGTAAGTCGGCCTTGGAACAGCATCTAAGAAGGATACAGCATTAATGTAGCACCAGTTTCCTTTGTTGATCAGTCCACGGGGTTGCAATGAAACTGGTTTATGAATTAGGGTTACATTCTCCAGTAACTCTGAAAGAGTAAAGAAGCATATGTGAGAAGTTAATGACATCTAGTGAGTAACACTGAAGCAAATTCTTATGCTCTATCCGGGAGGGTGTTCAAAACCCCTCCAATAAAGCACATATCCAAAGAAAAGGCATATGGAGTTACAGCTTCACTCCATTCAACATCATGTACATTACTTAATGATTAAATTTCTTAAAAAGTTCTCCCAAACACCAACATTTGTCTTCTTGTGGGAATATAACTAGGAAGCATGATAACTATTTTAATAAGGAACAAATGTTAGTATTAGAGGGTTTAAAAGACACAGCCTTTCCTCTTAAAGACTGAGAGCTAGGCCTGCCTTGGTAGCAGCATGGTTTTGGAGACGCTGGCTATTAAGGGATTCCGGGCAGAGTTAGTCTCTCCATGTCTGAACGAACCACCAGCAACTACTCCAGCACACACCTCACAATGGGTGCTCAACGTGTTTTTGGGGGACTACTATCTTCTACAAACCAAACTATATTTTTCATTAGAAGTCGAGTTTAGGACTGTTTTGTACACCGGAATTCTCTTATTCCATTTAGAAACAAGCTTCTTATCTTTGGGTTTCACCCATGGACATCTCCCTGCTTCATAGTCTTAAAATAGCTTTAAATGCCATCCTTATACAATGCTGCAATGATTTTTAAAATTAAATTTTTTTTTCAGAAATGTCATTTCGAAACTTGTAATAGTAACAGCTACAATTTATAGACACTGTCTACACTTAGCAAGTGCTTTACAATTTACATGTTAACTGGCTGTACTTAATCCGTATTAATCCACGAGTACCATTCCTTTCCCCTTTCACCAATAGGGAAATCGAGGCCCTGAAAGGTTAAATAGTTGCTTGTGATCACACAGGAGCAAGGCAGCACACCCAGCACCTGAAATGCAGTCTGTGTGTGACCAGACCACACAGCCTCCCTTTACTTCTACATTGTGCGCTGGGAAAGCAGCACTAGGTGAGCATACATTTAATGGCAGCATCCCTCCAAGGCATTGCTCAAACAAAAGAAGCTTTTTCTGGCTGATCCCAGAATTAAGCATTAAATGAAGGAACTAATTTGCAAAATTCTAACATCAACTTCTAACATCAACCCACTCCGCCAGTTCCTCCTGTGAGAGTAAACGCCCTTTCCTCTAATTGAGGAAGAACAGGGAATAATTTTCCCATTTATAAAAAGGAAAGCATTATAGGCTCAAGAGAATCCAATGCAATCTATTCAATTGGACTAAGCTTGCAAAACTCCTCTTACCTCTCTTACTACAAGGAACAATACTGTGCCTTCGATGAGTAATGTGTCATTTACAGAACTGAACCAGGAGTCTCCAGGAGATAACACCCAGCACAGATAGTAGCGGTCAGGCAGCAGGCACTGTGCTGTTTTATCTGTACTTTTCATAATCATCTTAACCCTATCAGCAAACAGCAGTATCACTCCAATTTTACAGGTGAGAAAACTGAGGTCGAGGAGTCAGGTAATTGGTGGTCACATAACTGAACTGACACGTGAACCTGGGTCTGCCTGACTCCAGAAGCTGGGCTCTTTCTTCTCAGGAGACAACGGGTTCCACTTTAAAATCCTTTTACTCTAAGGTTTCAGATATTAACTCTTCTCCACAGGTTAAGATCTACTTACAACAGATTTTCCCATCTTGTCTTAGAGCCATATTATCACAAGTCTTATTTTCCAATGTGTGCCAAGAAGGGCAATTAGTTAACATAAACACTACAAAAACCCCTGCATTTTCAAATAAGCATCAATCCCAAATAGCACCCAGCAGGACACCTATAAATCTTCGTCATGGTATTTTTATATCTAGAACCAATTAAGTTGTTACGGAATATAAAACTCAAAATCAACCGCCTTCCTAACACAGGATCTCTGCTAAATGACACGCTGTCCTTTGCAGAGCCCTGTCTGGGCACCAGCTGCTGGAGGCACGGAGATGGGTGGAAGTGGCTAAGCCCGGCCCTGCTGCAGGAGAGCTTGCAGCCAGTGAGGAAGGGACATCACAGGGCAGGTGAAGCTGAAAGGGATGGATGGAAGGGATGCTCAGCCCAATCTAAGGACTGGATAAACCCTGAGGCAGCCAGAGCTGATGACAACAAATGGCAGCTGACACCAGAAGCCCGTCCCCAGCTGGGGTAACAGTGCCTTCTATCCACAGAAGAAATATAACAAGATGAATGGATTACTTTTTGTTCTGTACTGTGATGAGTTTACTTTTTAGAGGTGCTAAGAAGAGGTACCCAGATGACGCCACAGATCACAGATCAGCAAGTACATATCTACACTTAACATACACCAGGCCCCTGCAGCTAGGGCTGGAAGTGTGCATTTGTACAACACATGCAGCAAGAGAAGCAATGGCTCAGAAATGGAACCCTAAGGAGCACCATGTCTATGAGACAGGCCAGAATCTGTAACAGTGATCCAGGAGGACAGGGAATTTAAACTGGTAGTGGGGACAGAAGCAGGTTTCAGGGTCTCAAGGGCATAGGAGGCAAAGTCTTTTAGGGTGAGGGTTAAGGATGAAGGTCCAAGAGGGAGGTGGAGAAGGGGCTTGATGACATTAATTCCTGTTCAATATTGACACTGGGGGAAATGGAAAGAAATGGCCAGGGACAGGTATAAAAGATCTAAAACGCCCTTCCATGTCAACTGTTTTAATAGACTCAAAACACAAAATAACCAATATATTTATAGAGAACCAAAAGCACTTTAAATTCGTATTAAACAAAAAAATAATTTACAAGGCTAACTCCACTATGAAAAAACAGATACAAAAACATCAAGAATGAACTGCTCTAAGATCCACTGAAAAGCCATCTCCTCTTATATTCTTGACTAAGCTCCACGCCCAGAATAATCTGCACCCCTGAAGAATGAAACATTCAAACCCTCTGGAATTTAGAGAACAGATTCAACTTAAAATTGACTGACTTCTTTCCAACATTCAGCTGGGAAATAGCATGCATTGGTTAGACAGAAATCTTTAGTTTCTAATCAACCCTCCCTTTGAACGGATGCCAACTCATGGTCATTACTTTTGGTTTGTGTATTTTAAGGAGCAAGCAGGTAAAAATGCCATTTTACTGTTGATCTTCTACCTTCTGAAATTCAAGTCTCTTAGCATCACCTAGTGGTTTCTTCAATAACTGCAACAGAACATTCCAAGTAGAGATCTATGTATATATAAAAGCCTAAGCAACTGTTCAACCAGAAGCTATGACGTGCCTTGACCACCGGAGGGCAGATGCTCCAACCAGTAGGTTAGCTTGCTGCTGGGGTCCAGCTGATTAGGACTGGGCAAGAAGGGCCGGACACTCCGTGGAGTCCTCCGCAGTCCCTCTCCGGCCCCAATTGTGCACCAGTGGAGTCCCTTGGCCTGGCCTGCGCCCTCTCACAACCCGGGATCCCTCAGGAAATGTCAGAGAGCTGGTTTCAGCTCAATCCCCGCAGGTCAGGCCAAGGGACCCACTGATGCACAAATCCAGAAGGAGCTGAAACCGGTTTGGCTCAGTGGATAGAGCGTCGGTCTGCGGACTGAAAGGTCCCAGGTTCGATTCCAGTCAAGGGCATGTACATTGGTTGCGGGCACATCCCGGGTAGGGGGTGTGCAGGAGGCAGCTGGTCAATGATTCTCTCTCATCGATGTTTCTAGCTATCTATCCCTCTCCCTTCCTTTCTGTGAAAAATCAATAAAATAAAAAAAATAAAAAATAAAAATCCAGAAGGGTGTAGCTCCTTCCCTCTAGTCTATATATTGTATATAAAACCCTAAGTGACTGTTTGTTTTTTTTAAATGTTCCACCAACACCTTTTTTAAAAATATATTTTATTGATTTTTTTCACAGAGAGGAAGGGAGAGAGCGAGCTAGAAACGCCAATGAGAGAGAAACATCGACCAGCTGCCTCTTGCACACCCCCTTCCAGGGATGTGCCCGCAACCAACGTACATGCCCTTGACCAGAATCAACTACCGCTGAGCCAAACCGGTTTCGGCCTAAGTGAATGTTTTATTGTTCGCTATGACACGCACTGACCACCAGGGGGCTGACACACAACACACAGGCATGGAGAGATGGAACAGAGTGATGAATCGCAGAGGAAAGGGGGAGGGGAAGGAAGTGGGCAGGAAGAGATTAACCAAAAATCTTATAAGCATACTCGAGGCCCAGTGGGATCCCTCAGGCTGGCCTGCGGGGATTGGGCTGAAAATGACTCTCCGACATCTCCCAAAAAGTCCTGGATTGCGAGAGGATGCAAGCCAGGCCAAGGGACCCCACCGGTGCCTGAATCTGTGAATCGGGCCTCTACTATAAAATTAAAAAGGCAAAAAACTCTGAAACAATGTAGAACCAAAGGATTCATTAGCAAATGTACAAAACTAGCTTATTTTTAAGTCTTTAGCATTCTTTGAAAGAGCCTTCTGGTACAATTTCCATAAATGTAGATTAGTAAATCTTTACAGATTTAGGAAATAGAGACACTGAACAATCTAGAGTTTCCTTAATGATTAAGCTCTTATTCTAGAAAATTTTTCTCTACTGTGGCAAGTCTTCCATAAGCTAAAATACATACCCATTCTGTTATTACTATCTTCCAAAGATTCTAAACACTACTCTCAAAGTAAAATTAACTGGAAACAGTCTTCCTAGAAATTGTAACTTATTTCAATCTAAGTTACACAATGTATCTCCCTAGCAACAGACACTATCACTGGTTATCTTGTATCAGGAGGGTGTAGCTCCTTCCCTAAATAGGCAGCTCTTTATAGACAACACCTTCACACTGCTAAGTACTAGGCCAAGTCTTCCCAGTCTTGGGAAGACTTCATGGATTGTCACTAGCCTTATAGCGTCATCTCTATTGGCTACATCAAGCCGCCTCCTCTTTTGCAAATGATTCCTTCTCTTTCTGCTAATAAGAGCTGCCATCTGTTCCTTTCCTACCTTATTCCGTAGACAACTC